ACTTCTAGAAGTGGACAGTCCATTTGGAGAACTGCAAAACACGCCGAAGACAGGAAGCTTTTATAGGATAAAGAATAAGGAACAAGGAAGAGAAAAATAGAAAGTATCTGATTGGTTGAGGCCACATAGTCAACCTTGTTTGGGGTGCAAAGGAACAAGGAAATAAGTATAGAGCCCGGACTTAGCCTGGTGTTTGGGGATTGGCTGACTGGGTAGACTGCGTTTCTGGTCTTATGGAGCATTTACAGGGACACAAAAGTTATCTAAGTTTTGTTTCGTTGATGTGCCACTCTGGGCAGGAGTGGCTCCATCTTGGGCCTAGAAATTTATTTCATCATGAGCAAGGAAGGGAAAAATAGAACGCAGGATAAGCTATGAAGCCACCCTTTCTTCCTTCCTTCCTTCTTTCTTTCCTTCCTTCCTCCCTCCCTTCCTCCCTCCCTTCTCCCTTTTTTCTTTTTCTTTCTCTCTTTCTTTCTCTTTTTCTTTCTTTTCTTTCTTTTCTTTTTCTTTTCTTCCTTTCTTTTTCTTTTCCTTTCTTTCCTTTTTTTCTTTCTTTTCTTCTTTCTTTTTTCTTTTCTTCTTTCTTTTCTCTGTCCGTCTGTCTGTCTGTCTCTCTCCCTCCCTCCCTCCTTCCCTCCATCCCTCTCTCCCTCTCTCTTTCTTCTTTCAATGAATAGTTATCGAATAACTAATAGCACCCACTATGTGCCAGGCACATGTAAGTAAAAACAGAAAACACAGATGGGGTTTTTGTTCATGGATCCTATCATCTAGTAGAGAGACAGACACTAACCAAATAAGTAGTCACTCAAATAAAAGTCATTATAAGTTGATACATGCTTTGAAGAAAGAGTAGAGTCCTAGATAAGGAGGAGCTTACATTAGGGGTTCAGAGGAGGTTACTTCAGGGGTTCAGACAAGAGTCCTTGAGGAAGTGAGCGGAGCTGAATGCTGAAGGGCTGTGGGCGGCAGAGGCTACGCTGGATGCACAGAGAAGAGGGAACAGCTTGTGGGAAGGCTCTGAAATGGGGACGGTCTGGCCCTGTTTTGAGGAACCGAGAAGAGAACTGTGAGAGGGAGAAAATATGAGAGCAGAGGAGAAAGTTAGGCGGATCGTGGATAGAATCTTAAGAGGCCACTGAAGGATTTTAAGCAGGGGAGTGACAGGGGCAGATATGAACTGCCTGAGGAGAAATACTAGCTGTCTGGGGACAGATGCACATACTTCAAACGTCAGGCAAAAAAGATAAAGCTAGGAGCAAAACAATCGTACTAGGAAAAGAAATATGGACTTTGTAAACCGGATAAATTTTATTTTAAAAGTATTAAACAAGAAAAGCAACTTCCACATAAAAACTGTGTATAAATGTTCAAAGAAGCATTATTCATAACAGCCAAAAAGTGGAAACGACTCAAATGTCTATTAACTGATAAATCGATAAATAAAATGTGATATATGCATACAATGGAATTATTCCACAATAAAAAAAATGTATTGGCACGTGCTACAACATGGCTGACCCTTGAAAACATGCTAAGTGCATGAATGAAAACACAACCAACCACATATTGTATAATTCCATTTATATGAAATATCCAGAATAGGAAAATTTATAGAGACAAAATAGATTGGGGTTGGGGGTGAGGTGGGGGATTCACTGCTACTGGATATGGGGATTCTTTTAGGGGGGACAAAATTGTTCTAAAATTAGATTTTGGTGATGATTGCACAACTCTGGGAATAGACCAAAAAACACTGAATTGTACACTTTACATGGGTGAATTGTATGGGGTATGTAATTATATCTCAATAAAGCTGTTAAAAAAATAATTTCTAAAAGAATCGGGAACTCGAGACATCTGTAGAAACGGATCTCAACCTTGAATGTTAACCTTGACTATCTCCTCACTTTGTATTCATTGTACTCCAAATTACTGACCGCCATCACTGTCTTGCTAGGCTGAGTTGGGAGGATTTATGGCCCCATTAATACATGACAGAATGGTGGCATTGAGGCCGTTGTTCATCTAAATTAGCACCAAGCAGCTGTTTCGGCTGATCATTATGAGGACGGCAAAGGGCACGGAAGTAGTGCTCAATTCTTTCAGCATTTTAAAAGAATGGTCTTCATTTGTTAAAATAATATCCTGCCCCTTTTTAGTGTTCTTTAAAAAAAATAACCCTGTAAGGTTTCTTGAAATCTTATTTTCATTAAAATGAAGGTGTTAGCGTAATTTTAAGATGTTTCCTCAGATCCTTTAAACATTTCCTATTTTTTAAAATCTTGATTAGAACATGTGAGTCCTTATTTATTAAATACTACAGAGGTTCAAAATAGCTACAGAGAAAGGGGATAGGAGGTTGAGCAGGTGGCAGTGCTTCCGTTTTCAGACTCTGAGAAGGCCAAGTTTTCTTAGGGAGCATTCCTGGCATCTGTATTAATCAGGTTCATAGTTCCTCAGCTGGAGTGTGTGTGTGCGTGTGTGTGTGTGTGTGTGCGCGTGCGCGCGCGTGACTTCATTTGACTTGTGCTGTTGACTTTTATGTTTTTATAACATGTCATTTCATTTCCCTTTCCAGCTTCCGCTGTCCTGGTGTGGCTATGCCGAGGTGTAATTCAGGCTTAACCACTTTGCGTGTAGGCTGGTTACACTGTCTTGTTTTATGTATGAGGAAGCTGAGACTCAAGGGCGATAAGGTACCTTGATTTGGTTGCCTCATCAGTTACTGAGAGGTCTTCCAGTTGGAACTCAAGTCTCCTGATTTTTGTTTCTTTTAGAAGAACATTTTCATTTTCCAGCCTTCGACCTCTTTCTTTTCAAATCTATTCTTATGAGTAAGTATCTTCATTGAACATGACTTTATGGTGCTTTTTCTTAGAACTGACTTTAAGAATAGACAGATGTGGTATCTGTGTGGTATAAATGGTGGGGAAAAATTAAAGGCGACTTTCCCTTTGGGCCATTCATTTTTCTTAAGTAACAACACATCCCATTTATTTCTCCTACCGTAATTAAATAGCAGTAACCAAAGATGTGTCCAGGTGTTTTTAACAAAAGGTAGCAAACAGCACCAGGGCTCTGACCTAATGGATTTTAAAAGAGGAATGTCAAGGTCATTAGAAAGTAAGTTTTTCAGGGTTGTCTCCCGCATGGACTAAAAGTCTCCTAATCCTGCTTGTGCTGTGGCCTCCATAAGATCCATTCTCTGCAGGGACAATCTTTTCTTCTTTTTCCTTTTTAAAAAAGTAAATAATAAGTATCTCTCTCCTATTTAAGACTCTCCAATGCTTTCCGCTGTACTTAGATAAACTCCCCAAATCTCTCTTGGCTTACAAAGCCTACAGGATCTGGCCCATGCTTGTTTAATTCTCCAAGCTTGTGTCCTCTTAATTCTCATATTTTCCTTCTTAAACCCAATTTAGGGCCTTTTGAATTTGTAGTTTACTTTGTCTGGAATGCTCTTTCTGATAGTTCTATGAATTTTAGGGAAATCACTACTTAAATGTCTCTTTCTCAAAAGGGCTGCCCCTCAAGTGGCCACCCAATCACAACCACTGTCACATGATTTATGGTATTTTCTTTGTATGGAGCTTAACACCACCAGATACTTTCTTCCCTTCCCCCTCCCCATAAGCTTCCTAGAACCTAGAACTGAACAAACGTTTTTGAAGAAATAAACATGGTAGCATCTTTTCTTCCCTGCCCCTCTCCCAAATAGGGCTGAACTCATAATGAGGATACACTTAAAAATGTCTTTCTCATCTATCAGTTATTTCCATCTTTGAGGAGACTGTAACTTGACTGGGTGAGTCTTTCCGATTATAAGTAGAAATAATCACGTATTAACTTTTCATCTAGGGCTTGCTTTCTCCGAGACCAGACCTTTTACTTCCCGATTCCCACAGTGAGTAAAGATGTTAAGGGTGAGCACTAGGGCCTGGAGAGTCCTGGATGCTAATCACTGAGGTTCGGATAGGGCAGCTGGTCTGCTGCGCAGTGAGTGGTCCTCCCAGGGGATGCCGAAGAGAAGGGGCGGAGCCACCTCAAAAGGATGAGCTTTACTTAGGCCGTCAGGTCTGGTGGGGCTGCCGCTTTGGGAAAGGCCCGGGGCA